GGCAAGAGAGATATGGCATAAATACTTACATGGTGTTAACACTACATTACATCACACTTAATCTCTGACAATCCCTCTGCATTAGTGTCTTGGTGTCAGGACCACCACCACCACGTGGTCGCAACACCGCCTCCCCCCCTCCCACTCCCCTCTCGGTAAAATGGGGAGGGATAGAAAAAAAAGTGGAACTTCGTGAGTTGAGATAACGACAGATTTTTAATAATACCACACGAGGAAAACCAAAGAAAGGAGAATATAACAATAAGACAGTATATAGAGTACAATGGAAACACTGATACAATGAAAATCTCACCACCACGAGCTTCACAAAAGAGACCCCTCTCCCGGCTAGCTTCCCCTTATATCCCGGGCATGACGTCAGCATGGTATCGAATATCCGGCTATGCCCAACTCCCAGCTTCTGCGAAGAATTAACCCTATCCCAGCTGGACCCAGGACAATTAGGTACACATACACTGTAAGATTCTGGATATACTATTGTTCAAAGGGCTATGAAATGGTAGTTAGTGTACCTACAATTCTCATTAACAAAAATATAACACGATCACCACTAAAAAGAAAATTATTTCCATTCAAACATCTTTGCTATCTTCATGCATACATCCACTGACTACAGTGGGACTACTTGCTCCAGTATAGCTATACACAACCTTAAAGGATCAAATTCAACATCTGGTAGATTCAGACCCTCCATTTTATACTACAAACTCCCTATTTTGTTCCAATTTGCCAAAAACTAGTTTAAACATGCATTAAGAAGAGATCCTCTTTTGCTATTGTAAACACAGAAACAATTGACAGTTAGAGAGAAAACAGTATACATCTTCATTAGCTTGCCTGCAACATCAGGGATACCAAAAAGATCCTTCTTAAAACAGTAACAGATCAACATCTATCCAATGAAAACCATTTGAAAAAAAATGTTAAATACTAAAAAGGTTAGTTTTGCAACCAGTAAAATAAAAATACTGGGAAAAGTGGTATTAGGAACAATTTTCCTTCTACATTATAGATGTTTACCTTTGCAACTCCAGCCCTATGAGCACCTTGTGATTCCATGTACGCTAAATATTTGTTGAACTCCCTGAATTCATCCATCGAAGGCCTAAAAGTCATGATTTTGCAGCTTGGGTTTAGAGGACTATCTGAGATGTCAGCAGCCATTGTGGTTCACTTTCAATCCAGCTTTAATTAAAAAAAAAAAAAAAGAGAGAAAAGAAAAAGAAAAAAATAACATACACTGAAGAGAATATCCTGTAAAAAAAATTCCAAGATTTGACATATATGTTTCAAACAGGAAAATAGCTTCCAAAATCCTCTGCCCATGCTAGGAGAAAAGGTACAAAACAAATGCTTACTCTTCTCCGTACTCCTTTAAGAATATTCAGACCTTACCCAGCACGAACACTACAATGAGTGACACTTATACAGCCCAGTCCATACCTCTGTTTTTATGGCACGTTTTCTCAAGTTAACCTTTAACAACATACTAACATCTTCCTCCGTTGATCCATCTGCACGTTTCTGTGTTTCTGTGTCTAGAGATTTACATTACACAGGCACAATCTAGAGTAACAAAGCTACACATTTGATAAAATATCACTACTCCCCTTTAGCATATGGAGAAAACTGATTATCCAGCTCCCACTCACACAACAAACAGAGAAAGAGCACATGAATTTCCTGACTTTCACATCAGCAGTTTAACCAAAGGGCTATATTACCCCTCAACTCTCTGAAACCTCTTCAACAGAAACAGAGCATGCAAATGACAATCAGTGTTTTCCCTTAATTCCATTTTTATATTGAGGATGGATTAAAAAAAAAGTCGTATTTTTGTTTCATGCCAAGATATATTACTCAGGAAAACTGTTCTTTAGAGAACTGACAGATACATTTTAGATTCAGCAGGTGTTGCAATTTCCAACCACACATCATCATGTGCCATTTACTGTTCTCAATATTCTTCGTAAATCTTACAGAAAAGCTCATCCCAGAATACACACAATTCAATCATGACCAGCTTTTTAGTGATTTTGCTTTCCTGAGCATATAATGTAACTAATACCTCTTTTTTTCCATTTGGGAAATGCATGCAACCATTTTTTTTATGCCACATACTATTTGCTTGTATGTCAGTATATTAGCCATTGATTTTACTAGCTTCATGTCCCTGCTAGCTTGGTACGAATCACTGCACAAGAAAGCTGTATTAGAAGATGTCTTTGTATCTTTCCAGGTTTCACTCTCCTACTGGTATTCCAATATTTAGCCTGCTTTTTGTGTCCTTACTTGTCCTCTCATTTTGCCTTCCCACTTCACCCAGTACACCACACTCCATTCTTAGCACTTAATTTGATTTCTTTTTCCACACTCCCACCTTCAGTAACATTCTATTCCCCTCTCTACACTATCTTCCATCCCTGTTCGAACTGAAATCAACTAGATTTCTGCAACTCTACCATTCTGAAAATCAGTGCAACTTAAATTTGAGGTTATTTTTGCATTTAAATTATCGAGTCCATATCGGTAAACACACCTCAACATGTACAAGTGGGATAACTTCCCTCAGTAGTAAACAGCTGCTTGTATATAATACACCTTTCATTTATTTCCATCCATTAAAGTTCCACATATAATCATAGAATCATAGAATGGTTT